GCGGCTAGCGCCGCCCGGGGTTGGCCTTGGTCGCCGACTGGTTGAGAGCGTCGGCGGCCCATTTCGCATATTCCATCCAATGACGGTCACCGCGCTCGTCGAGGCCGGGGATGGAGGCGAATTCGACGTTGAACACACGGCCAGCGCTGCGGCGAGCGGCCATGCCGGCCTTTATGATGCGCCAGATGGCGCTCTCGACGACGCCGTTGTAATCCGGAACGCCAGGAGGTGTGAACTCGACGCCGATGCCGTTGTCGTCGCAGAAGCGCCGGAATAAACACGGGGAAAAAATCTTGATACGGGGTGTCATCATAGCCATCCATGAGCTGCCCTTCGGTGAACACACTCGTATCTCCAAGATCCATACCCGGAAAAGCACCCACACACACAAACTCGGACGCCGAGGAAGGTACTACGTCGGCAGAGCCGGCGAGCGGGACGCCCTCACTCACAGGTACTACACTGGTGGGACCAGTGGGCGGAATACGCAACATGGACACCAATGATTTCGCGAGCCCCCGTTTTGGGAAGGGGAACGCGCGGAGCCAACGGCGGGGGCGGAATCGGGGGCAGTCACGAATGCGGGCAAAGCAGCAGGGTCTACAATAGTCGCAGATGGGTCGTACGGCAACCGCATGGCATACGCTGCAGATGCATTTTCCTCTCTAGCAAAGAGCAGTCCATTTTGTAGGGTTGCACCACGTTCGTCGTAGAGGATTGGTTGCTTCAGAGAAACAGCATGCGTTGAGAACAAGTTCAAACTCAGGCTGTCTACAACAGACACGTCAGTGAGCTTCACACACATCGTCGTTTTCTCACCATTCTCATCCTCCTGAAAGAAACTAAGATTAGTACTACCGATGGCTTGCACTTCTAGCAGTCGACCATCACCTACAATGACATACTTCCTACTGGCGGGGATCTCTTGCAGGTCATACATGTGTAGGCTGCTGTTGGTGAAACTGTTGCTGGCTCCTGAGTCAGCTACCCATCTCTCGCTACCAGGCGGCCCCTCACTAGATTCCACACTCAGCAAAGACGAAGCAGACGCAGCAGACTCTACTCCAATCGTCACTCCTATCCTACTGGAAAAATCTTCAGGATGAGACTTGCCTATGGGCACCGATTGTGCCGTGCAGAAGTGGAGGTAGCCCGAAGATGGAGGCGCGCCAGGAGAAGGAGTAGAGGACGAGGAGGAAGCGGTG